GGGAGAGTACTGCAACGCAAGAGTTAAAACGGTTATGTCTTCTGTACAACAAAACAGTGACCTCAAATCCATCTTCGTGGAGCTGTTTTCGTACTCGACACCGTCACAGCCATCGTAAACAGAGGCCGCAGTCTCAGCAGAATCACACTCGACAATGGCGTAAAAGTAACGGAGGCGATTCAGCTCGTGAAGCCTGATTTTTTCTACCAACTGACGCTTCTTCCTTTCGTCCTGTGGTTCCTCATCCTCGTCAGACTGCACCCCTTCGCTACCGAACAATTCCAGGGGGCCGTTAACCTCTTCCTTAGCCATCTGTTCTCGGCCGAACTCTGACTGGTATATTTTGACCTCTTTGATCACCCCCGACGCTGGTTTGAACGAGTTGAACAGGGCCAGCAGATCTTTAGCCTAAAATCACACAGATCATCGTAAAAGCATACGATAGAAATTAAATTCCATGTACTTCGATCTGGAGCCATCTGTAGCTTTGACTCGGAACAAGACTGTCATTTGGCATTGTGATTATATATATTAAAAAAATATAAACTGGCAAGATTGTGACAACCAGGATATCAGGGTCTGCTGCACTTTCATTATCGCATCTACTTTGAGGAAGCCTTCCTTAGCAGTGCTGCATAGGTTAAAGGTTCGAAGTCATTTGCCAAAAGCTGCTAATCTTTTGAAAGTAGTATCTACAATCACGTGGTCATTATAGCGTGTGGTTATCTGATTTGTACCAACACCTTTCCTTCTCTCTCTACCACGGCTACTACAGTCTAGTATTGAAATTTGTCGTAATGTGAAAATCGGTTGCTAACAACAGCATCGAACAATTCTGCAGAGCTAATTAGTAAAGTATTTAATGAACCGAAAAACTAAATTTTAACTTTGGTACCTACTGTAATGTGACTCCAGTCCATGTTACAGACGGCAATTCGCGCTGTCGCCTCCTCCGTCCTAGGAGCGTCGGCATCCAGCTCGCCCCAGTGATGCTCCAATTCAGATTCGGCATCATCTTCCTGTTCTTCCAAATCGGAATCGCTTTCTTCCGAAGTGGAAACGTTTCCACTGCCGCGGGCCAAGTCCAATCGTATCTTTCCATCATCGTCCTCATCATCCAGAACATCGTCCTCGCCTTCCGACCTTCTAAGAATTGCGGGAATGAGGTTTGGTTCGAGTCTGAGTCTTTCAACCGGCTGATCACTTTCCTTGCTTTTGTCCCCTTGTTTCGAATGTTCATCGCTTACATCACTGCTGAAAGATGGCTTCTCAAGATCTACCAAATTTTCTAAACTTTCAATTTGTTAAATTTGCTAAGTTAAGCCAGTTTTGTTTTTGAAATCATTTATCAAAACAAAATATTACGATGACACTTCACAAAGACACAAATAAATCAATAAAAATGTTAGTAAAACTCCGCCATGGCCGGTCCCAAGCCCGGATGAGAAAGGAGGAGGGTTGGAGACCGTGGCAAGTCTC